TGGCACAGTATAGAAAGGGTGGGCTTTGATGTGTTGATGTCAAATATAGACCATATATGGCAACAAGGGTTTATGGTTTGCTAATGCCATATATATTTCAATATTGGTAAATACCATTAAAATGTTATCACTATGAGAATAATTATTTTTCAGCCATGTTCTAGCCAGGAAAGTAAGTATTCCATTCCAAATCCCATACAAACTCTCCACAATAGTATCCATTGCCTCACCTGCTCAAGTTCTGATGAATGAACAAACATAAGTAGCATACACTAGAGAAGGAGGGACAAAGTTGAATAGTTGTGAAATGAGCATAACCTTTCACAGGAACTGAGGATCTTTCCTTATGTTTTACACATCATTCAGCACACACCAGGTTTTTTTTTACAGCTGCACTTCCTGGATCTTAGTTTTACGTATTTCATAGTCACAAGATTGCATAAAACTCCTAGCCAATCAAAAACCATGAAGGCAATGATGGTAGTGGTCTTCAGAAAACTAGTTAATTTAAACAACACCAATACACAGTAAATGAGAAAATACATAATCTGAATTCACTAAGAATCATTATAAATAGTGGTTCACACTGAATTCTTTCAGTGCTACATTGAAAATATCAAGACATATAACATTTAGGGAACTGGCTGGTAATCCATCGCAGCCACCATACTACTAAACTATAATATCTAAATACGAAGGAAGTATAGGTGATTTCAAGACCTTTCACTTAATCTGGGAGCACTTAATGACCCCCAATTACTTCACCGACACATTGAGGAACCTGTTATTACCAAACATGCTGCCTAAGGTAGAAGCAACTTAAAATGGTATCTTTCAAGCGAAATTGTATTAACTAAAAATACAAACGAGCAGGATCTGTGCCAGAGCAGTGCATCTGGCTGTCTCTAGCTGCAGAGCCTAGCAGCGCCAAACGACTCCAGACTGCCAATGCTGCACTGTATTTCAGGAGGGAAACAGGGACCCACATGTATTAAGTGAATGTAATAGTGGAAATGTTTTGTTGCCCCGAATGTTGTAGCACTGCAATAAGGGCAAAAAAGGACAAGATTCCCAAGAAGGGGTTTGTGAGCTCCATTTTCTGAAACTGAAGAAAGGGAAGACTTTTCCCTTCTGCCATGGCAGACTTGCCTCTGCACTTGCGCAACTTTCTGTCCTGCTGATGAAGTCACTGGTGAGTGACTAAGTGATCAAAATCTGCTTCCCCACCCCACGCGCGTCTTGGGCCTGAGTACAAGGGCGGGGAAAGGAGAGATGGGTTTTCCACCATTACGCTATTTACAGATCTGCTGAATCCCAACTTATTTGCTCATTTCTGACCACTCCATAAGAACATTGTGAAGGAAAGCACGATCAACAAGACGTCCTTCTCTAGGAAAACGGAATTAAAATCAAACCACAGACCCAACTTTTTATGTGGTTCGTTCTGACATTCCCAGTAAGGGAAGGGCAAAAGGATCAAGGAGACTTCCTCATCTGGCAAAGCGGAAATAAAATCAAATATCCGTGCCCTACAGAACATTTCTTTGCTGTAAAGAGTTAAAAGTATTGAAAGAGAGGAACTATTTTACTTGTTCAACACAAGAAGATCCCAGTCTTTCATACTTTTATTATGTAGATCAGGCTTGGGCTAACTTGGGCCCTCCAAGTTTTTTGGACTCTAACCCCCACAATTCCTAACGAGTTGGAGGTGTTTTGGACTCTAACCCTCACAATTCCTAACGAGTTGGAGGTGTTTTGGACGCTAACCCCCACAATTCCTAACGAGTTGGAGGTTTTTTGGACTCTAACCCCCACAATTCCTAATGAGTTGGAGGTGTTTTGGACTCTAACCCCCACAATTCCTAACAGCCTACCGGCTGTTAGGAATTGTGGGAGTTGGAGTCCAAAACACCTGGAGAGCCCAAGCCTGTTCTAACTATTTTGTGAGGAAAATACAGTTGCCTTGTTGGTAAGGGCACCTCAGGAGTGGGAACTGAGTTTTTATTATTACTATTATTATGTTTATTTATATCCTGCTTTCTCTCTCCATAAGGAGACTCAAAAGTGTCTAACATGGAAAAACGTTACAATTTAATGTATAAAAATATTAGAACAGTATTAAACATCACTAGTATTGAAAACAATTCAGATTAAACTCATAAAAACATACAGAACCACAACAGCACCTGACCTGATCTTTAAAATCCTTCCTTTAAAAGCCTGACTGTATAAAAAGATTTTAAAGCCCACATACATATGTGTGTGTATGTGTGTATATGTATGTGTGAATATATAAGTATAATGTATTGTCGAAGGCTTTCATGGCCGGAATCACTGGGTTGTTGTACGTTTTTTCGGGCTATATGGCCATGTCCTAGAGGCATTCTCTCCTGATGTTTTGCCTGCATCTATGGCAAGCATCCTCAGAGGTAGTGAGGTATATAAGTATATATACACACACATACATATACATCCATACACATATATGGGCTTTAAAATCTTTTTATACAGCAGTCAAAACTTCATTTTTGTTGGCTGGTTATAACCCCATTCTGACAACAAATGTGCCCTTTATTTGTTTAAAGCTACTAAAAGAAGATTGGAGTACATAGATCAGATTGGGGTGCAGTGTAGGGGAGACGAGGATAGTTTATGCATATATCTATGGCTACCTGTATATTTGTATTTTATTTTAAGAGGAGTAGATGTATGTTGTATGTTGTGTCTCCATTGTGTTTTTGATAAGGCCAACTGGCTAATCAATAAAAATGTTGTTGTAAGTATATAAAAGTATAAATATGTGTGTGTATTAGTGTATGTGTGTATAGATATGTGTGTGGGTGTATATGTATGCGTGTGTATATATAAGTATATATGTGTATATATATTTGTGTATGTGTGTATAGATATGTGTGAGCATATATATGAGTGTGTGTGTAAGTGTATGTGTGTATATGTAAGTATATATAAGTATGTTTTTGATAAGGCCAACTGGCTAATCAATAAAAATGTTGTTGTAAGTATATATAAGTATATGTGTGTGTGTATTAGTGTATGTGTGAGCATATATATGAGTGTATATGTAAAGGTAAAGGTAGTCCCCTGACATTAAGTCCAGTCATGTCTGACTCTGGGGTGTGGTGCTCATCTCCATTTCTAAGCGAAAGAGCCAGCATTGTCCGTAGACACCTCCAAGGTCATGTGGCTGCATGACTGCATGGAGCGCCGTTACCACGTGTATATGTAAGTATATATAAATATGTTTTTGATAAGGCCAACTGGCTAATCAATAAGTATATATGTGTGAGTGTGTGTGTGTGTGTATGTAAGTATATATAAGTATGTTTTTGATAAGGCCAACTGGCTAATCAATAAAAATTGTTGTTGTAAGTATATATAAGTATATATGTGTATATAGATATGTGTGTGAGTGTACATATATAAGTATATATATATATGTGTATATACATATATATTTGTGTATGTGTGTATAGATATGTGTGAGCATATATATATGTGTGTGTGTGAGTGTATGTGTGTATATGTAAGTATATATAAGTATGTTTTTGATAAGGCCAACTGGCTAGTCCAGGGGTCCTCAAACTTTTTAAATAGAGGGCCAGGTCACAGTCCCTCAAACTGTTGGAGGGCCGGATTATAATTTGAAAAAAACATGAATGAATTCCTATGCACACTGCACATATCTTATTTGTAGTGCAAAAGACACTTAAAAACAATACAATAATTAAAATGAAGAACAATTTTAACAAATATAAACTTATTAATATTTCAATGAGAAGTGTGGGCCTACTTTTGGCTGATGAGATAGGATTGTTGTTGTTGTTGTGTGCTTTCAAGTTGTTTCAGACTTAGGTTGACCCTGAGCAAGGGCCAGGTAAATGACCTTGGGGGGCCGCATCCGGCCCCTGGGCCTTAGTTTGAGGACCCCTGGGCTAGTCAATAAAAAATGTTGTTGTAAGTATATATAAGTATATGTGTGTGTATTAGTGTATGTGTGTATAGATATGTGTGTGAGTGTATATATATGTATGTGTATATATAAGTATATATGTGTATATACATATATATTTGTGTATGTGGCTAATCAATAAAAATGTTGCTGTAAGTATATATAAGTGTCTGTGTGTGTGTATTAGCGTATGTGTGTATAAGTATATATGTGTGTGAGTGTATGTGTGTATATGTAAGTATATATAAGTATGTTTTTGATAAGGCCAACTGGTTAATCAATAAAAAATGTTGTTGTAAGTATATATAAGTATGTGTGTGTATTAGTGTATATGTGTATAAGTATATATATGTGTATACATATATATTTGTGTATGTGTGTAAAGATATGTGTGAGTATATATAGGTGTGTGTGAGAGAGAGTTTATGTGTGTATATATAAGTATATATGTATGTTATATATATATATATGTTTGTGTGTGTGTATATAACTATATTTGTGTGTGTATAGGTATGTGTGAGCATATATATGTGTGTGTGTATGTGTATAAAAGTATGTTTTTGATAAGGCCAACTGGCTAATCAATAAAAAATGTTGTTGTAGGTATATATAAGTATGTGTGTGTGTATTAGTGTATGTGTGTATAAGTATATATATATGTGTGTGTGTGCGTATACATATGTGTGTGTGTGTGTATACATATATATTTGTGTATGTGTGTATATATATAAGTATATATGTATGTGTGTGTATATATACTTGTGTGTGTATAGATATGTGTGTATATATAAGTATATATGTATATGCGTGTATATATATATTAGTGTATATGTATGTGTGTGTGTGTATATATATATATATATATATATAAGTGTATGTGTGTATACACACACACACGTCTAGGCCCTCGCCTTCATCCTCCACCCGACTAGGCCCAAGCGCCGGCCTCGAGTAGGCCAGGCCTTCCGCTGCCGACGCCCGGCCTGAGGCGAAGGGGGAGGCGGAAGGGGCCCAGGAAAGCGCCGCTTACCCTTCCTCCTCGCTGCTCGCCGGCCTGCTGCTCCTTCCTGCGCGGTTTTTCCTTTCCGTGTCCTCTCCCTTCCTCTCCTCTCTGCTTCTTCTCCTTCCCTTCCTTCCTTCCCTCCCTCCCTGCGCCCAGGCACACAAGATGGCGGCTCCCGGCGGCCACGTCAGTGCCAGGGACCTCGCAAGGCACGACGGGAAAGGAGGGAGGGGCGGGGCCATAGAGGGAGGAAAAAAAACCCGAGTCTGCGCGTGCGCGCAACGGGAGCAGGCGAGGCCTCTTTGGACTAGGGCTGGATAGAGCATGCGCGGGCTTGTACTGTACTGAGCGTGGAGAGAGGAGCGCTCGCGCTTCCCTCCCCCCTCCCCTTCGAAACGCAGCCGGCGCATGCGCAATTCGCCCCTTTGCCGAAGAATGACCGTTAGGCGGCTCCCAACGGACTTTTTTTTTCGAAACCTAAGGGGCGTGGCTTCGTGCGAAGGCGGGGCTTAGGCTCTTCCTTCGCCCCGCCTTCCCTTTAAAAGCGGCTTCGCGCTCATTCTATGGTTATTCCATTTCAACCTCAGCTTTGGGGAAGTTCCTCACAGAGCTGAGGCTTTAGTCTCCTATTTTGAGAAACAGAAGTGAAGTCACACTTTGCCACCTTATTTATAAGTATTCTTTCACTCAAGATGTGGCCTCATTTCTGAGGAAACATACAGAAATACTACAAACCTGACAGAAATGTCTGAGGAAACATACAGAGATGCTTCATAGCCTACAAAAATAACAGAAATTTCTGAGGAAACCTATACAGAAATACTACCTGGCCTACAAACGTGACAAATTTCTGAGGAAACATACAGAAATGCTACATGGCCTCCAAACATGACAAATTTCTGAGGAAACCTATACAGAAATGCTACATGGTCTACAAATATGACAAATTACTGAGGAAACCTATACAGAAATGCTATATGGCCTACAAACGTGACAAATTACTGAGGAAACCTATACAGAAATGCTACATGGCCTACAAACGTGACAAATTTCTGAGGAAACCTATACAGAAATACAACATGGCCTACAAACGTGACAAATTTATGAGAAATACTACATGGCCTACAAATGTGATAAATTTCTGAGGAAACCTATACAGAAATAATACATGGCCTACAAACGTGACAAATTCCTGAAGAAACCTATACAGAAATACTACATGACCTACAAACATGACAGAAATTTCTGAGGAAACCTATACAGAAATACTACATGGCCTACAAACGTGACACATTTCTGAGGAAACCTATACAGAAACACTACATGGCCTACAAACGTGACAAATTTCTGAGGAAACCTATACAGAAATACTACGTGGCCTACAAACGTGACACATTTCTGAGGAAACCTATAGAGAAATACTACATGGCCTACAAACGAGACAAATTTCTGAGAAAACATATACAGAAATGCTACATGGCCTACAAACGTGACAAATTTCTGAGGAAACCTATACAGAAATACTACATGGCCTACAAACGTGACAAATTTCTGAGGAAACCTATACAGAAATACTACATGGCCTACAAACGTGACAAATTTCTGAGGAAACCTATACAGAAATAGTACGTGGCCTACAAACGTGACAGAAATTTCTGAGGAAACATACAGAGATGCTACATGGCCTACAAACGTGACAGAAATTTCTGAGGAAACATATACAGAAATGCTACATGGCCTACAAACGTGACAAATTTCTGAGGAAACATATACAGAAATGCTACATGTCCTACAAACGTGACAAATTTCTGAGGAAACCTATACAGAAATACTACATGGCCTACAAACGTGACAAATTTCTGAGGAAACCTATACAGAAATACTACATGGCCTACAAACGTGACAAATTTCTGAGGAAACCTATACAGAAATACTACATGGCCTACAAACGTGACAAATTTCTGAGGAAACCTATACAGAAATGCTACATGGCCTACAAACGTGACAGAAATTTCTGAGGAAACCTATACAGAAATGCTACATGGCCTACAAACGTGACAAATTTCTGAGGAAACCTATACAGAAATACTACATGGCCTACAAACGTGACAAATTTCTGAGGAAACCTATACAGAAATGCTACATGGCCTACAAACGTGACAAATTTCTGAGGAAACCTATACAGAAATACTACATGGCCTACAAACGTGACAAATTTCTGAGGAAACCTATATAGCCTACAAACGTGACAAATTTCTGAGGAAACATATACAGAAATGCTACATGTCCTACAAAAGTGACAGAAATTTCTGAGGAAATATATAAAGAAATGCTACATGGCCTGCAAGAGTGACAGAAATATAAACAGTTAAGTTAAAAATAGGCCTCATTTTGTCACAAATTGGTGTGGTTTCCTCCTCAGTGACTCCTGTTAGGAAATGATAGTCTTGGTTTTCTTGCCCTAGGTTATTATAAATAATCTGAATTAAGTTGTTCATATTTGGATACTACGAAGTGATGCGGAGGAATTCTTGATCTCCCTTGTGGCCTGTTGTTGTTCATTTGTTCAGTCATTTCCGAGACCTCGTGACCTGGACCAGCCCACGCCAGAGCCCCCTGTTGGCCGTCACCACCCCCAGCTCCTTCAAGGTCAATCCAGTCACTTCAAGGATCTGATCCATCCATCTTGCCCTTGGTCGGTCCCTCTTCCTTTTTCCTTCCTTGTGGCCAAGGCATTGTCAATGAAAAGAATTCCATTTCCATGGCACCGCTTCTTAATATGCCATTTTTTTCATCACATTTTTGTCATTTTTAATGCAAGGCTGGGGTAAAAATTGCTGGAAGAAACATTAACAACATTAGATATGCAGATGATACCACTTTGATGGCTGAAAGCGAGGAGGAGCCGAGGAGCCTTCTAATCAAGGTGAAAGAAGAAAGCGCAAAAGCTGGGATGCAGCTAAACATTAAAAAAAACCCTGAGATTATGGCAACAAGAATGATTGACAACTGGAAAATAGAGGGAGAAAACATAGAGGCAGTGACAGACTTTGTATTTCTAGGTGCAAAGATTACTGCAGACGCAATCTGCAGCCAGGAAATCTGAAGACACTTACTTCTTGGGAGGAGAGCAATGGCCAATCTCGATAAAATAGTGAAGAGTAGAGACATCACCTTGGCAACAAAGATCCACATAGTCAAAGCAATGGTCTTCCCTGTAGTCACCTACGAATGTGAGAGCTGGACCATAGGGAAAGCTGAGTGAAGGAAGATTGATACTTTTGAACTGTGGTGCTGGAGGAAAGTTCTGAGAGTGCCTTGGACAGCAAGAAGATCCAACCAGTCCATACTTCAGGAAATAAAGCCCGACTGCTCACTGGAGGGAAGGATAGTAGAGGCCAAGATGAAGTACTTTGGCCACATCATGAGAAGAAAGGAAAGCTTAGAGAAGACAATGCTGGGGAAAATGGAAGGAAAAAGGAAGAGGGGCTGACCAAGGGCAAGGTGGATGGATGGGATTCTTGAAGTGACTGGATTGACCCTGAAAGAGCTGGGGGTGGTGACGGCCAACAGGGAGCTCTGGCGTGGGCTGGGCCATGAGGTCACGAAGAGTCGGAAACGACTGAACGAATGAACAACAACAACAATGAAGTTCATTGGTGACTTTTGACTAATCACCATATCTCAGTCTAACATACTTCACAAAGTTGGTGTGATGGTTGAAATTGGGAGGTGAACCATGCAGACTACCTCGAATTCCTTCCAGCTAAGGTAGCGGGAACTTTGAATCTAAAACAGGGGTCCTCAAACTTTTTAAACAGAGGGCCAGGTCACAGTCCCTCAAACTGTTGGAGGGCCGGATTATAATTTGAAAAAAGCATGAATGAATTCCTATGCACATTGCATATATCTTATTTGTAGTGGGAAAGACACTTAACAACAATACAATAATTAAAATGAAGTACAATTTAAACAGGTATAAACTTATTAGTATTTCAATGGGAAGTATGGGCCTGCTTTTGGCTGATGAGATAGGATTGTTGATTATTGTGTGCTTTCAAGTAGTTTCAGACTTAGGTTGACCCTGAGCGAGGGCCGGGTAAATGACCTTGGAGGGCCGCATCCGGCCCCCGGACCATAGTTTGAGGACCCCTGCTCTAGAACATGACCATATAGCCCGAAAAAACCTACAACAACCTACTGAACAACAAACATTTAAAGTAGAATTCAATAATATGATCAGAAAGTAAACTCCATCCTTGATTCCCTTTCAATTTGATTTGAGGACTGATTTTCATGTTGCTGCTGGTGGGGGCATTTATGTACAATGCATGTCATGTGCAAAAACTGCATCTATTTTGGAAGATAGCTGGCTTCCAGGTGCAAATAAGAATACTGGCTGTTCCAAAGATTTCCAAAAATATCCACTTTACAAGGAAAATGCTTACTTAGATTTTTATTAAATAGGTGTATCTAGTTAACAAAACCTGACAAAGAAGTTCTAGCCCTCTCTCTTGTCTTCTATCTGGAAGTTTTCTTAAACCTTGGAAAATATTTTCCAGCAAAGAGCCACCATAGAGTAGTTCTGCTCTTCTTTTTTTGTGGTGTAGGAGCCCATTTTCTATTTATTGTCGAAGGCTTTCATGGCCAGAATCACTGGGTTGTTGTAGGTTTTTTTGGGCTATATGGCCATGGTCTAGAGGCATTCTCTCCTGACGTTTCACCTGCATCTATGTCAAGCATCCTCAGAGGCTCAACCTTTGTTGAGAGGTGATTAGATGTCCTTGTTTGTTTCCTCTCTGTTGTTGTGCTGTTATAATTTAATGCTGTTAAATATATAAAAACTCTAAAATTACAACAGCACAACAACAGAGAGGAAACAAACAAGGACATCTAATCACCTCTCAACAAAAGTTTGCTCCAGGCACTGCTAGGCAATCAAATGCTAATCAAGGTGATCAATTGAAACATTCACACCTAGCTCCAGCAGACAAGAGTCCTTTGTCTCATATATCTGTGGTCATTCCACAGATATATAAACCCATTTTCCTACTTCCAACAGACCTCACTACCTCTGAGGATGCTTACCATAGATGCAGGCGAAACGTCAGGAGAGAATGCCTCTAGACCATGGCCATATAGCCCGAAAAAACCTACAACAACCCATTTTCTATTATTTCCATGTTATTTCTGCCTGTGGTAATG